GAAGATGCTCTCACCATCTCCCCCCCGCCGTAACTTTCCTGCAAACCCGGCTACAGGATCAGAGAATCACCCCTCAGGAGATGTTTCTGAAGGGGCCGTAACACATCAGGAGGTGGGCTGGGGGAGTGTGACACCCGCCTGGGGGGGCCTCTCTGGCTGAAATGGCGAAGAGCACCGTGTAGGCAGCACACGGTCAGTGACCGTGAGGTCGTGACCTCATGCGGTTGGGACCATGAGGAGGTGCCTGGGAGCCGGGAGGACGCGAGTCACTGGCGTCCTCGGCTTCCTGTCCCCTTTTACGCCTCTCAGACACCTGCCGAGGTCACCGGCTCCCAGGAGGACTGGATGCGGGAGGCACAAATCTAAAACGGGAACCTACAGGGAGGTCTCTTCTAGGCTGGATCTGAGCGACCCAGAGAAGAGTCTGGCGCCCCACTACCTCCATGGAATGTGTGCTGTGAACAAAGACGCAAACTCCTGTCTTTATAAAGAGCTCCGTGGCCAGACCACGCGAGTTCAAAGGCAGCTTCCCCACGTCAAGTTCTCCACCTAACCCTCTTGGAACCGGGGACTTTCCTGAGAGCCTGCCAGCGTATTTCTACCTTTTCCAAGGCCAGCTGGGGAGTGTCCTGCCTTTGCCAGTCAGCTGCTGTGGGAGCTGTGTCTTCACCAGCAACACGGCACAAGCACAGTCCCGGTCGCCTGTCCCCGCAATGGAACCGCGCTGGCAGGAAAAGTCCGTGAGACCACCTGCGAGGCGCACGCTGGTTCTGCTTAGACACGGGTGTCTGACTTCCGGAGGTGGGGGGCTGGCCCCATGGACAAAACCGTGTTCTGCTGGTTTGACTCCGAAGGCTGAGGCACAGTGTCAACGAGATGGCACCAGTCCACGCTGCTGGGCACTGGCCACTGGCCGTTCCTCCACTGTCATGCCTTCCTGCCGGCCCCACGGAGCAAGGGAGAGGCTGGGGGTGTGGCACACACGTGCTTACCTTCAATGACAGAACTGATGTTCCCTATGTTCTCATCGCTGACGGCTGACAGCTTCTCCATCACCTGGACTTGCCGAGAAAGCTTCTCCAAGAGGTTGCTCGCCACAAATGGGGTTTTGCTTGAGAAAACAATTTGCTGAGAAAACAAAGAAGCCGCCGTGTCAATCACGCCCACTGTCGTCAGCGGAGGTTTCCCGACCCAACCCCGTCCTTCCTCCCACGGCCGTCACGCTAAATACGCCTGCACCGTGTTCTGTTCCGGCGGGAGAACGTTCCTCGTTCTGTGCCCGTTACAACACCCGACGAAATCACACGTGTTTTTGTTGCCTCTCAACTTTTTCCGTGCCTGTATGGATTCTGGGATTTTTTCACTAATAGAGCCATGAGGTTATTATCAAGTTGAGGCTCTGTAAATCCTCTTTGAAACTTAGAAGGCATATTCAGGCTGCTTATCTGTGTGCTCACACAGATAAAAAAAAGATTGCCTTCCCAAGTAGTCATTTTTCCCAGCACGGATTTCTTTCCTTGTTTTCAAGCTGGAAATGAAGAATGTGTGGTATAATAATCATGATTATAATCAAGGCTTTCTCATTCTAATTAACGAGTGCTGATTATGTACCAGGCACTGGTCTGAGCCCGTGTATTAGCTCATGCCATTGCTCACCACCACCCTAGGAGGTGGGTACTGTTGGTGTTCCATTTTACTGCTGGGGAAACTGAGGCACAGAGCGGTCCAGTAGCATGCCCAAGGCCACATGAATAGTAACTGATTTCATTTGAGTGCAGGTCACAAGAGTAAAGGGCATGAGAGAGGACAGAAGTCACTTGTTGCCTGAAGGTTCTAGACCTTTCTGTGTGCCTCAGAGACCTGTCCAGTCACCTGGTGGGTATGGATACAGGGAGCTGACCTGTATTGCCATCCTCCCCTGTCTAAACCATGTAGATTCTATGCACATATGATTTCCAATCTCCGAGCCTAGTGTAGCAATTATGTGCTGATGCTTTTCACATATGTAGATACAGCAGAAGTGAACTGACTTCAGGCATAACATATGGTCCACATGGGATGCCTGTTTTTTTCTCTTTGCAATTACATTCCGAATGAAGATGTAAACTCACCGATGCGGCAGTGGGTGTGGGTTAGAAATTACGTTTCTAATCCTTAATCCTTTACATCTCTGTACGTGTGCCTCTTCTGTTTTTTTGATGCTGATTTTCCCCATAGTGGGGCTGACTTGTTATGACCATGGTCTGGTCTGAGTATTGGGAAGAACGCTGCACTGAATATTTTTAAATTTTTTTTAGTTTATTTATTTTTTGAGAGACAGACAGTGCACAGGGGAGGGGCAGAGAGAGAGAGAGAGAGAAAGAGAGAGAGAGAGAGAGAGAGAATCCCAAACAGGATCCATGCACTGTCAGCACAGAGCCTGACGTAGGGCTCGAACTCACGAACTGCATTGCACTGAATATTGCTTGTCAATTAGTCTTTGAGAGAAAACATTCATTCCTTCATGGAAGAGAATTCTCTTATGTCTCACAAGATAATGACTTTACCTCTACAGTGCCAACAGGTAGTGTGCTCAGCACAGAATCAGGCTCAGCAAGGGCGAAGAGTTGTGAAAACCATCTTATTCAAGTGGTTGGATAGAGAATAGTTATAAGCAAACAACAACCCTTTCCCATTTTGGTCAGAAAAAAACCACTGCGCCTTCTGCCAGATTGGTTGTCAGTAAATGGCTGGCAAATTCAACAGTCAACAGAAGAGATCAACTGGGATGTTGGCCAACCTAGCGGTAAGAGTCGTAATTGCCAACAAGTTTCCCACAGTGTCTGAGGTGACTCTGGGGTTGTTTGTTCACGGAGGAAAGTATATCCTCCATCTCATCACAAGTGCATTATGGAAAAAGCACACTAACCCACCTCTGGCCTCTCTGGGACCCCCCTCCTCCTTACCCTGCCTCTTGTCTGCCACTTGGTCCCATGCTCTTAGGAGCACGATTGATTGATTGACTATTTATTTATTTACGTTTTGCACCCTTCCTGTCTGGCCAATCCCCCTGAAGACCATTACCCATTTGCTTTCACATTCTCATCCTGTTCCCCACACATGCAAACAGGCTGGAGAAGACAAGCAACCAGGCGAGGAGTAAGTATTTAAGGAGATGCTTGGGGCAGGAGGTGGGGAGCACTTCGTTCAAGGGAGCTAACGCACTTCCTGCAACCAAAGAACTTCAAAATATCCGCTTCACTGTTGCAAAATCTTAACAGGTAAGTAGCCTGAAATGAGAAGACAAACAAGTCCCATGGCGTCCCAGAATGAGCGCCTACCTGGCAACGATAACGGCCTCTGGAACTATTCTTTCTCGCTGCTGATACGTACTTATTCAAGATCTGGGAAACCGTGCTTATATCCTGCACCATTTCGCCTTTAGCCGTCCAGGTGCAGTGACAATATTCACACTACCATGTGCCCTGTAACACTGGCTTTCGAAGTCCACCCCTTTGTAGATGGCACAATGCAATTTTTTTTCCCTTAGTCACGTTACTCTTCTCTTTTGGCAAATGATTTGAAATCAAGAGCTAACCTATTGCATGTTCGAGTGCGGAGAGCTAGGTTTCAAGATAGAAAACCTAGGGTTCAGGGAGGATGGCCAGGGCCATCAGAACTTTCGAGTCGGCCCAAAGCGAAGCAGGCTTGTTCTCATATTCCTGAATGTTCATTTCTCTGGCAAAACTGAAAAAAGGCAGCACACATTCTTGGTGCATCAAGAGCCTGGGGTCTAAAACAAACACAGTCGCCGAGCCCACCTGAACGAGTTGGGTGCAATACTGAAGGTGCCTGACGATGGTGATGTCCAGGCTCTCATTTCCTGTGGTCAGGGGGAGGGGGCTTCCGGCCACACTGGTCCCGACTCCCGTGTCTTCTGTCAGCGCCTCGCTCAGGTGCCCCCTGGCCTCTGGGTGTACCGACCTGTAAGGGCTGAAGCAGGAAGGTGAGCACAACGTTAGCAGTTTCTTTTAGCGGGGAAACCCCAGGTCAACCCTACGAAGCTCCCAGAAGGCCCCAAGTAGCACCTACCGCAAAGAGGCTGTCTCTAGCCTTGGAAAACCGAGAGACCTTTCAAAAGCTACTTCTTGATTCAGCCCAGTCACCAATGTGCCGTATTAAAAGATCACACAAACAAACTGCTTCCAGAATTTGCTTCTCAAGCACAGTGAATCAGTGTTTCAAAAATTTTAATGTGTATTTATTTTTGAGAGAGAGAGAGCGAGAGTGAGAGCGAGAGAGAGCACAAGTGGGGAAGGGCCAGAGAGAGAGGGAGAAAGCAGAATCCGAAGCAGGCTCCAGGCTCCGAGCTGTCAGCACAGAGCCTGACGTGGGTCTTGAACCCATGAACTGTGAGATCATGACCTGTGCTGAAGTCGGACGCTTAACAGACTGAGCCACCCAGCTGCGCCCAGCAGTGAACCATTTGTAAAGCAGGCTCACCAAGGAATCTGCCCTCATGGTGCACCTGTTACACTTTCTTGCTCTGGGGATGGGGCGCTTTGCCAAATATCCTGGG